AATAAATGTATAAATAAAACATTGTGAAGAAGATATGATAAAAGATCAAAATGGAAAATGTAATAATAATATTTCATATTGTTTAAATAAATCATATGTTAATGGAAAATGTGTTGAATGTTTAAATACATATTCACCTAATTTGAAGGGAGAATGTATTAATACAAAAATAGAATATTGTGAAGAACAAAATACATATGGATGTAAAAGATGTAAAGAAGGATATTATTTAACAAAAGACATGAAATGTTTAAAATGTGATGATAAATGTGAAACATGTTATGGAACATCTACATATTGTATGAGTTGTTCTAATGATAAATATTTAAGAAATGATAAAACATGTCAATCAAATGAAGAATTAAATGGAACATGTTTACAATTATTGCAAGATGGAAGTGGATGTGGAATATGTAATAAAGGATATTATAGAAATGGGAAAGGATGTTCAAAATGTGAAAAAGAATGTTTAACATGTAATCAAAAAGATAAATGTATAATATGTGGAGAAGGATATTTTATGAGTTCAACAGGAATATGTAAATCAACAACAACAATTAAAGGATGTAAAGGAGAAATAGATAAAGAATATGGATGTAGAGAATGTTTACAGGATATTATTTAATAAATAAAGAATGTTCAAAATGTGGAAATAAATGTATAACATGTTTTAATGAGAAAGAATGTAATAAATGTGAAGAAGAATATATAATAATAAATAAAGAATGTATTCATTATTCAAATATTAATAAATGTAAAGAAACAAAAAATAATAAATGTTCAAAATGTTCATTTTGGTATGGAATCAATGAAGAAGGAACAAAATGTAATAAAGAAATGGTATGGTGGATGATAATGATAATTATCATCATTATACTTATTATCATCATTATAATAATTATAATTATTATAATAATGATTAATTACATTATAAAACGCAAAGAAAAGAAAGAACAAGAGAAAACAACAACAATATTTAAAATTTCACAATCAAATATCAAATTCATATCACTTGGAGATGGAATAATAACAAATAAAAAAGAAATAGAAATAGGAGAAGGAGAAGAAATTGAAGTAAATAAAGAAATCAGAGAATTAATATGTATTGGAAATGAAAAGAAAGAAAAAAAGAAAATACAAATAAGTAGTAAAGAAGAAAATGAAAAATATTCAATTAGAACAAACCCAAATATTATTACAATTGAAGGAGGATACGCATGTGAATTTGAAATATTCATTACAATCAAATGTACTACTAAAATTAAAGAACAAATAATGATAATTAGTAAAACACTTAATAAAACACAAGAAGAAATAATTAAAAGTATTTCAATTAAAGGAGAAACACAAATATCAACACGACTTGATCCCGATGAAATAAAAGAAGAACATAAAATAGGAGAAGGATCATTTGGAATAGTATATATAGGAGAATTTAGAGGAAATCAAGTAGCAATTAAGAAAATGAAACAAATTGATAAAGATGAAGATAAAATGAAAGAATTTGAGAAAGAAGTAATGATGTTAGATAAATTTAGAAGTGAATATATCATTCATTTTTATGGAGCAGTATTTATTCCTAATAAAATATGTATGATAACAGAATATGCAAAATATGGATCAATACAAGATTTAATTAATAAAAGAACAAACACGGAAATACCTAATAAAATAAGAATTAAATTCATGATAGATGGAGCAAAAGGAATTTCATATCTTCATTCAAATGGAATACTACATCGAGATATTAAACCAGATAATTTTCTTGTTGTATCAATTGATGATAATATTGGAGTTAATTGTAAATTAACAGATTTTGGAAGTTCAAGAAACATTAATATGATGATGACAAATATGACATTTACAAAAGGGATAGGAACACCAAAATACATGGCACCAGAAGTATTAAATCGAGAACATTACAAAATGGCATCAGATATATATTCATATTCAATAACAATGTTACAAATCATCACATGGGAAGATCCATTTCCTAAAACATTATATCCACATCCATGGGATACAGCAAATACAATATCAACAGGTAAACGACCAAAAATAATACAAGAAGTTGAAGAAGATATTAAAGAAATTATTGAAAAAACATGGAAACAAGAACCGAAAGAAAGAATAAGAATAGAAGAAGTCATAAGAATGTTAGAAAGAATTGAAAATAAAGAATAAAACAAACATAAAAGAAATAGAATTAATATATTTGATTTAATTCTATTAAATAATTTAATTTTATTAACATATTTTATCATTTCATTTAATTACAAATAAAGAAATGAACAATAAATAAATTAAAATAGAATACATTCATTCAAAATAACTATATAATAAACAAAATGAAAAATAAAAGAATAAAATATGATAAATAACAAGAATGAATACATAATTATAAATTATATTATAATAAATTTGTTTTGATTTATTCATTTTATTTTCTTTTGAATATGTTTGTTTGTTAGAATTATTAAGATTCAAACCTAACACATCAGAAACCATATGGAACCCTAATATGTCCAATCAGTGAATCCTCAGTATTGTCTGGTCATATGTGTCTTTTTTGAGATATCACACCACCTAAGAATAATTGGTTATTGTTTATTAATATTTATTATAAATAATCGTTATGGAGTATTATTTATTATGATAGTAATATTATCATTTGTTAGGGTCAGTGTATTTATCAAAGATAGGTTTGAGATGAGTACATGATGTGTTATTAAGAAAAAGGGATTCTTTAAGTGATTTGATGATAAATGAGATGAAGCATAGTGATGGTATTATTAATATATTCAACAAGATATAAAATTATAAAGAGTGGAGAGTTTTAATACTCGTTAAATTCAAATAATAAATGAAATAACAACTTAAATAAGGAACTTTTTATTCGACCATGATTGAAAAACAGTATTTGAATAGAAATAAAATGTGTTGAATAAACTAGTTTGCTCACTTCTCAATATGGTGAAAACCTAATCATAAGTAATTCATATTTGGTTTCATTTTATTTCATTTGAAATACTCACATTTATTGTGTTATTTTATTAAATAATAAGAAAGAATGAAATTTAATCAAATATGATTTGATTAATAACTTATATTTCATCATGTTGAGAATTGAATAAATTAGTTTATTCATTATTCTTTATTTCTAATGAATTTAAGTATTTTCAATTATTTTCAATTGAAATGTTTCATTTAATTTGTTATTTGAATTTGAATTTAAAATTAATGATTATTGATTTTGGTTATTATTCACATTGTTATTTTAAGAAGAATACATCAATATCATTATGGTTGTGTTTCATTTTTATTAATATCAACAATTATCAGCGGAATCAATTTAATTATTGATATTATTTCATATTCAACTTTAAACTATCATTAATAAATAATATTTCATCATAATAAACAACAACTATTTGAATCAAATAACATTCTTCAATATTCAATCATACCATTTCTTATTAAATAACAATCAACACAAATCATTATAATATTGAATTGAATACATTACTAAATATATTGTTATTATCAGATGTTAATTGGTTATTTAACACTTGATTTCATTTTAATGATAATGTGTAGTGTTTCTGACATAACACATTTAAATCATAATGAAATTGAAGAATATAATAAATAAATGATAGAAAAGAATTGAATGAAAAGAATGAATAAAAATTAATAACTAGTTATTATATTGTTCGTTATATGATGAAAATAAATAAATGAAATACAACTATCAAATTATAAAAACATTAATTAAAACATATTAATGAAATAAAATAATAATAATTAAGTAAAAAGTAAAATGAAATGATAATTATGATTATTTGAATTAAAATTTAAATTATTTCTTTATTATTCTTATTATCTTTTCTTTTATTCTCTTTCTTTCTATTTTTTTTATTCTTTGTATTCTTATTTTATTCTTTCTATTCTTTAATTTCTTTATATTTTATTTCTTTTCTATTTATTATTATTTATCTTTATTTATTATTCTATTAGATACTTTAAATATAGTATTTCTAGAATACTACCATAAACTATATCTGTCTTCTTGTAATAGTTGTTTCCCAACCATTTATAAAATGAATTGGTTATATTATTACGTAAAACAGTTTGTATGTTTATTTCTTTCTTTTTTTCTGTTTAAATACCTTTTTCTAACCCTTGTTATTATTCTTTTACTATTATTTTACTATTCAATTTTATTATTATTTTATGGTTTTATATTTGTTTTATATTCTTATCAATTCTTGTTTTCTTTATTATCATATCTCTATTTCATTCTTATTTATCCATTCTTTAATACTTCTTTCTATTTCTATTTTATTCACTTATTCTTTGTTTATTATCATTTGTTATACTTCTC